CCCAATTACCCCATTCCTCAATCTCCTCCAATCTCCTTAATTCCGAACCCTCAAATCCAAAAGGCAAGCAATGCACTTGTCTCGTGTTCCAGGTGTCCATGGGCGACGCTGATTGATTACCATCAGGTGATCCGTCTAGTCGTTTACCGGCTTATCCCAATCCCGGTCTCGTGAAACGACGGTGGTGCTTGGCAACTGGGTTTCACACACAGTTTGTAGTCTCTTTTTTGTGCCTTGAGGCTTAATTCACTCTGTCTAATACAGTAATTTACCGTGGGAAGTGGAAACTATCGTTTTTTTCTTCTTCTCCTCTTATAATATCTTCTGATTCACTTCGTTGCGGGAACCAAGACAGTTATTCATGTCCCTGGGACGCGCCGGACTTCAATGTTCCGGTGTTTTCATGGTTGTATCTACTGTAGATCCTGGCTTACAGGAGTTGCAGCGGTTTTGGGAGGTTGTGGCGGGCTTGTCCCATTAAAAAAAAGAGACCGGGCAGCAGCGCTCTCTAATAAACCTGAACCTTGTAATGACCAAGTTACAAGTCAAATTACTGTAGTTTACTTACCAATAAAGTGAAGATGGTTATTGATATTTATACCGTACGTACCTGAAAATGAAAAAGAATAATTAATAAATTGGGCATATACATACAACGGCTCACCAAAATTGTCCAGTCAACTGATGGTAGCGTGGACTGTCCAGGCGATACGTACTTAGGTATCATCATGAGCTAATAGTAACATGTAAACAGTGGCTCATGTAGAGATTGTCCAGTCAACTGATGGTAGCGTGAACTGTCCAGGCGATACGTACTTAGGTATCATCATGAGCTAATGGTAACATGTAAACAGTGACTCATGTAGTGTAGAGATTGTCTAATCAACTGATGGTAGCGTGGACTGTCCAGGCGATACGAACTTGGTAATGATTCATGACTTATTTTTCATATAGTATTAATTATTTCCAAAAAATCCGACTCGAACTTGACTCTTAAAATTTTAATTAATCTTATCATAAAATTATTGATATTAAATAGTTTTTAATAACAAATCAAGCGTGGTAGTCATTTTAATCTAATTTGGACTGTAAAATTTAGTGTTTAGAGTTCATGTTTTTATAATAGGTTAAGTTTTATGGTTGCACAGGCGCTGAAATATATGTTAATATTAAAAAAAATAGTTCTTCAGTCATTTTCAATTCGCTATGAATGTGTTACTATTATTTTTTATTGGTATGTATTAGTCATTTTAATATTATCCAACAGTTTACTGCTGCACTATAAGTCTCCTCTACATAAGAGGCTTTGTCTCCGCAGGCAGGCGGGTTGGAGGTCGCAGTATAAAAGGTTCAGGTATATCAGAGAGCGCTGCTGCACGGTCTCTGTCTAAGTGCCTTAGTCGGGTGTACGACACCCGCGGTGTCATCATCATCATCAACAGCCTATAAATGCCTACTGCTGAGCAAAGCCTTTTCTCACACGGAGAAAGTTTAAGCATTAATCACCACGCTTGTTCAATGCGGGGGCCATTTCAAACTTATAATTAGAAATTATAAGCCCAGGTTTCCTCACGATGTTTTCCTTCACCGTTTGTCAGTGGTGTCTAGATAATCTTAGAAAGTATATATAACTCGGAAAAAGTCACATTGGTACTTGCCGTTATTAGGTTTCTAACCCGCACTCTCATGCATGAGAAGCGGGCGTCTTAACCTCCGGGTCACCACGACCTACGATCTGCCATCATGAAATTTCAATAATAATTTACTTATTTCAGGTTTCCTCATACGCTCAGTGGCTGCTGGGTTTGGTATCGGGGTCGACACAGACAAGAGACAATTTACATTTCGATATAACTTTATACCTAGAATAATTCCTAAGCTCAATTGCTGTCCGCAATTTTATGTAAACCCTTAGGGCTAAATAGGGGTCTTTTTTAAGGGGGGAAAATCATCGAATGCCTGATCCCGCTTGGGTGAGGCGGGAGGGAGTGTCAGACTCTTACTGACTAAACACCATCCCGTTCCTTCTCCTACACGTCGAGCCGGAGCCCCGGTCACCCGTTAGGTTCTCCGCGACTAAATAGGGGTAATATGTCATATAGGGGGCTAGGGGTAATATGTCATAAGACCCCCAATAGTCATATGTCATATTTAAAGGCGAGAAACAATTCAATGACTTCACCCGCTTGGGTGAGGCGAGAGGGAGTGTCAGACTCTTACTGACTAAAAACTACCCCGTTCCTACTCCTGCACTTCGAGCCAAAGCCCCGGCAACCCGTTAAGTCAAAGTCAAAGCATATATTTTAATTAATCCATAATTTGGTAGTTTTGAAACGTCAACAAATACAAAATATATAATAGTCTGACAGTCTGTCCGTCAGTGAAGCTAGGTGAAGCTAGGTGCTCATTCCAAATGTATATTCGAATGGAGAAGAACGAGCAAGAAACGCCATTTGTTACTCTTATAAATAACACCCGTGTCTTCCACGGCTCCGTATTGGTATCAGCCCTATTGGGCCCCATCTGTGGTGTGGTGGTCCGATGGCATTTTGAGTTGCGCGCGGAACGTTACGCGTCGTCACAAGTTTCGTTGTTCGTTCCTGCTTTTTAATAATTAGTACTGAAATGATGGCGATATAGATTGTATATAGGATGAGCCGGTAAACGAGCTGACTGATCACCTGATGGTAAGCAATCAGCGTCGCCCATGGACACACGGAACACCAGAGGAGTTCAAGTGCGTTGCCGGCCTATTAATAAGTAGTACTGATGAAATCAGTTTCGAATTAAATGAAAGTTGAATATGAGGGGTCCAAAAATGGGTCTATAAGGGGTTATAAATAACATATAAGAGTATGTACCGGGGTCAAAGTTTTAAGAAGTGTTAAATATTTTATATGTAAGTATGATATTGTTTTGTTATGAAATAAATATGTACGATTATTAATATGTAGTTTCATTTGTTTTTTAAATAAAGACGATTGTGTACAGTTTCTGTACAAGCTATAGGACGTCCGCTGCTGAATACCGGCCTTTCTAGACTTTCACATAAGTCGTTTAGAAGCGACCTGCCTGATAACAAAGTATCCCGTGAATCCAGCAGCGGATTACCTAGAGAACGCCTTTTTTTGAGGGGGGAAAATCATCCAATGACTTCTCCCGCCTGGGTGAGGCGAGAGGGAGTGTCAGACTCTTACTGACTAAAAACCACCCCGTTCCTACCCCTGCACTTCGAGCCGGAGCCCCGGTAACCCGTTCAGTCTTCCGCGGCTCCGTATCGTCATCAGCCCTATTGGGCCCCATCTGTGGTGCCCTGTAGCCTATTTACAGAAATAAATTCACTTGTTTCACTTGTACAGCCTCAGTTTCAGCTTCTTAGGCCCCGTCAGTGACTCGCTCACCCGGTAATGAAAGAGTTTCCTAGTCACTCTTACTGACTATAAAGAATGAAACATTGGGTTCGATTACAGTTTTGAATTGACATTTTAATTTTTTATGGGATAAGCCGGTAAACGAGCTGACAGATCACCTGTTAGTGGAAATAGAAATAGAAATTTATTCACAGGAACATGTGATACAATGGATCTTATTCTAATTTCCAATAGTACAATGTACCTATTCCACCTTTTCCAGGCATGCAAATATTAGTTTATAAGTATGTAAATATGGTACGCATCGGCGTCGCTCATGGACACCTGGAACACCAGAGGCGTAATAAGTGCGTTACCGGCCTTTTGGAGATTAAGAATTAGTATTGTTGAGGATGCAGGAAATGGGGAGATTAGTGATGGGGGGGGGGGATAATTAGGCCTTCGGTAACCTACTCACATGACGAAACACAACGCAAGTGCTGTTTTCTGCTCGGCCGTGGTATCACTCCGGTCGAGCCGGTCCAGCAGTGCCGAAGCATGGCTCTCCCACACTTTAATAATGAAAGATGAATCTCAGGGCATGACTCATACCCTATTACATGGGACTCAAAACATACCTGGTGGAAAGTGGATGTTACATTGTATATTCACCTCCCCTTCAAAGGTGTAATTATGTTCATTATGTTATTAATCTGGTTTGTTCGAAATCTGACAAGTGCCATTGTGACTTTTCCAGTTATATGTACTTTCTAAGATTATTTAGACACCACTGACAAACGGTGAAGGAAAACATCGTGAGGAAACCTGGACTTATAATTTCTCATTATAATTTTTAGTTTACATCTTCTAAGTACCGTTGCATGCCTTGGTGCAGCTGCTTCCGCGGCAGAGGCCCTCAAACGGCGTAAATATTCAAATCTAGTAGGTAACTACTGTTTTGAGCCGTTTGGGGTCGAAACACTTGGGCCATGGGGTCCCATTGCACACTCTGTTTTTAAAGATATCGCCCGTAGGCTAATCGACTCTACACGTGACCAGAGGGCTGGCTATGTCTTCGGACAGAAAATAAGCATTGCCATTCAACGTGGCAATGCTGCCAGTCTCCTGGGAACTTTCCCCTGTGATAGTGATGCGGACGAATACTTTGACGCCTAAATGAAGGGTATAATTTTTGTTGTTTTCTTTTTTTTACTTTCGTTTTATTTAATAGTTTAGTTGTAGCTAATTTTAGGTTGTAAATATTTAAAATAAATCATATATTAACTGAAAAAATAAGTTTGAAATCGCCCCTGCATTGAGCACCCGTAGGTACACATACACAATAGGCTGTTGATGAATGATCCTAGTCTCTTGAAGATTGCATTTACATTAATCCAATGAATCATTGAGTCATTGCATTTTCAAACAACAGATAACAATATTTAAAGTTGATTTTTGATTTGCATTGAAATGTATCCAGTTATTTTAAAATATTATTCGACATTACTTTGGCAATATAAACCTTAATGACAGGAAATTAGGTGTTTTTCAAGCCCTGTAATTGTATGAGAGGAAATCAATATATATTGGATTAATATAAAGAATCAAGGCTTATTTTAATCAATAAAAGTATTGCGAAAGCTTGTAACAATGATCGCTCATAGTTTAATTATATTTTTTGTATATTTAGGTGAGTAAAATTATAATTATTCGTGCTTTCATAGAATCCACACATACGTACGTCATCATCATCTGCTGCACTATGAGTCTCCTCTACATAAGAGGGTTTGCCATAATCTCTTTTAAGTGTGGGAGAGCCATGCTTCGGCACGAATGGGCCGGCTCGACCGGAGTGATACCACGACCTCACAGAAAACCGACGTGAAGAAACGCTTGCGTTGTGTTTCGTCGTGTGAGTGAGGTTACCGGAGGCCCAATTACCCTTCCCACCTTTCCCTAATCCCTGAATCCCTAACAATCCTTAAATTCCTAATCCCAAAGGCCGGTTACGCACTTGTAACGCCTCTAGTGTTCCGTGTGTCCATGGGCGACGCCGATTGCTTACCATCAGGTGATCCGTCTGCCCGTTTACCGGCTTATCCGATAACTCTTAGCGAAGAGTGACTTAGCGACCCCTTATCTCGTGATTGGCTGAACCAATTTTAATGTAGTTTTCAGCAAAATGCTTGTTAAACTTAGGAGAAGGTAATTGTTGACCGAATTCAAATAAAGAGGGCGTTGTAATCGACTTTTTTAAACGTAGTTTATGATTACACTTTTTTTTCCAGGACCCCTTGTAAGCTCTGATGCCATGAATGCATATTGCTCACTTCCCTGTCCGTTCTTGTACTCTGCGCCACCTCCAGCGTCATACGGATGTCCAGGACTACAGCCCAGGAACCCAGGCGTACTTGGAAGGTCTTATATGTCTTACGGTATGTACAGTTACATATTTACTGTATGGCTATCAAAATTTATAATAAGCTTCCAAATGACCTAAAAAAACTGAACGTCATTCAGAACAAAATTATTTAAGTTTCTGTTAAATAAGTGCTACTACTCAACTAAAGAATTACTCGATGACAAAGATTGCAAAAATATTGTTGTGAAATAGTACATAAATATATAAGTAGAAAATAAGTGTAATATTTGTATACAGATTCGGTAGAATGTATGAGACATTAATGAAGATAAAACACCGATTGTAACTACATTCTGACAAATAAATTTTTCTTTCTTTCTTACATAACATCACGCCTTTTATCACCGAAGGGGTAGGCAGAGGTGCACATTATGCCACTGTACAATGTATACATAGTAGGTACAGAATGCGAAGCAGTGACCAACAATACACCCGTATTTATAAATAACAAAATTATTGCACTATATACTTAAAACACAATAAGTTTTGAGTAATCTCTAAATAAGAGTTACTTAGCGTGAGGGACCACCTAAACGCACCCCTGAACTTTACCGTTAGGTGTCACTTATCGCCTTTTTTGCCTGAAGGCATAGGCAGAGGTGCACACTTTTTTTTTTTTTTTTTTTTTTTTTTTTTTTTTTTAAGGGGGGAAAATCATCGAATGACTGCCCCCGCCTGGGTGAGGCGGGAGGGAGTGTCAGACTCTTACTGACTAAAAACCACCCCGTTCCTTCTCCTGCACGTCGAGCCGGAGCCCCGGTTACCCGTTAGGTTCTCCGCGACTCCGAATCGGCATCGGCCCTATTGGGCCCCATCTGTGGTGGTCTGATGGCTCTTTGAGGCGCGCGCGGAACGCGACGCGCCGCACGCTCGGGTCTGTTTCTGGTCGGACGGGGAGCCACCCATGCTCGCCGTCCGCAGGCCCGCGCTTACGGTGGCCGGAGATCGTCCCGCGATCCCCGACGCCCGGTGTGTCCTTCGCGATGGCTGGGTTGCGAGGAGGCAGCGCTTCGCTGCCTCACGCGTCCCGCCTCCTCCTTAGCTAGCATGACTGCTTCGCAAAAGGAGGAGACGGCATCCCAATCCCCCTCGCTCCGCATCATGGCCTGCACTAGGCCCGGACGCGAGAGGTCGCCATCGCCGATCACTTCCCTGAGGACACGGCGGTGCTCAGCCCACGAAGGGCATTCTCCCACCGTGTGTTCCACCGTGTCCTCAGGGCGGCCCTCGCAGTGATGACACCCGGGCGTTTCCTCCCGCCCCATCAGACACAGGTACCTCCCGAAACTGCCATGTCCGGTGAGGACCTGCGTCAGGCGGTAGGTGAGGACGCCGTAGCGTCTCTCAAGCCACTCCTCAAAGAGGGGACTTACCGCTGCGATGGCAGCGAGCCCAAGAGGTGCACACTACGGCACTTAATGCCACTGTACAATGTAACACCCACTTTTCACTATTTATGTTATGAGTCCCATGTAATAGGGGGTGAGCCTATTGCCATATACCGGGCACAATTCTAGGCTCCGTGCTACTACTGAGAATATTTATCTAAATCATCCAGGGCGTCATGCAAACGCATACAGAATAATTTATTTAAATCGGTCAAACCGTTTAGGAGGAGTTCAATGATACGTACAGCAGAATTATATACCTATATAAAGAATATATACTATGTTGTAACCTATTTCTTACAGAAGACCTCTACTCTGACTCCACCGCGGATCCACCAGCTGTGAAACAACGTCAATCTGAACCAGAGAAACCAAAACCGAAGCCTGAATCTGAGGAGTCAAGTCCGCCTCCACCTAAAAACAAGTCCGGCCCAAACCCCGAAACTCCCCCGGTTCCCAACAGTCCCCCAGTTCCCCCTAGTCCCCCAAATGCTCCCAGTAGAAGGTTCTTCACATCTCTGTTTTCTATACCAGGAGCGGTGATGGATACTCTGATAAATGGAGAAATTGTATTGTAAATTTAGTAAATATATTATGTATGTAAAATTGTAGTTTTATTTTTTATTCTTTTAACAAGCTGTTCAGGGCTCGTACACAAGCCGTCGCATCGCAAAAATGTGCGAGCTCCCTCTACGCATCGCAAGAACTTGCGAATTGATTCGCATCGCGCATCAAAATCTTATCTTCCCAAAATCTTCTTTGTTTCTTTTTCCTGTATCTCCTAATCAACAGAAGTGTCGCGGAGAACCTAACGGGTAACCGGGGCTCCGGCTCGACGTGCAGGAGAAGGAACGGGGTGGTTTTTAGTCAGTAAGAGTCTGACACTCCCTTCCGCCTCACCCAGGCGGGAGCAGTCATTCGATGATTTTCCCCCCTTAAAAAAAAAGCAATAACAGAAGTGCACACTTCTTTTTACGATCCATGTCACGACCTAGTTTTCAATTTAAAATACGTTTAGTACGGTTGACGGTCGTCGAAGGAATGGTCACCCTGGGAGACGCCTTGTCGCACGAAATTGCATCGCAGCAATTCGCATCGTAATCTTTTGCGTTGCGAATTCGCATCGCATCGCAGTTTTGTTTGTGTGTATGTAGTGGAATCTCACAACTGAATTTTGAAGAAGATAATAATATCTTCAATCGATTATCATAAATGCTAAACTGCATAAAACATAATAACATAACATAACTTCACGCCTTTTTATCCACGAACGCCTACCCCAGGCAGAGGTGCACATTACGGCACTTAATGCCGCTGTACAATGTAACACCTACTTTCACTATTTATGTTATGAGTCCCATGTAATAGGGGCCACTCCTAAACTTTGATTCGTTTTATTATACGTCGATGTCGTGGTGGCCCGGAGGTTTAAGTTGCCCACTTCTCATGCATGAGGGTGCGGGTTCGAAACCTACCATCGGCAAGTACCAATGTGACTTTTTCCGAGTTATAATGTACTTTCTAAGATTATTTAGACACCACTGACAAACGGTAAAGGAAAAACATCGTGAGGAAACCTGGTCTTATAATTTCTAATTATAAGTTTGAAATCGCCAACCCGCATTGAGCAAGCGTGGTGATTAATGCTCTAACCTTCTCCGTGTGAGAAGAGGCTTTGCTCAGCAGTGGGCATTTATAGGCTGTTGATGATATGATGATACGACAAAATAAAAAAATACGTGTCTAATATTTTTTCATTATCTAACTGACGGACTAATTAGATTTTTACTTTTCTTACCCTGGAAACTACCCAATTGTCTTGCGCTAAAGTACTTCGTATCATTTCAAGTACTAGGCTTCAAAGGACTTTCGATCCATAATGTAGTTGCTCTATAATATGTTCTTTGCTCGTTCCAAGGTGTAGAACTCCATAGGTTACTCTTTTTCAATCATGTTCACATATCGAAATTCATACCGGAAAACCGATAATTTGACAATAAATCATATTAAAAGTTTGCTAAACGTGTTTGGGTCAGATGATGGATGGGTGGGCTGGCGGATTAGTGCAGGTAATATTATGTGTTTTATGGGAACAAAATAAACAAATTTTATGGATTTTATTAAGGAAATGTTTTCTATATAAAACCTTTTTAACCGACTTCAAAAAAAAGGAGGCGCATACGAACTCAAAGTACATTATCAATACACCACGCCATGTATTTCTCGAAGTCGCAAGTCGCAAGTGCGACTGCCAGGCAAGGGGTCTCGGGTTCGATTCCCGGGTCGGGCCAAGTATTACTGGGTTTTAAAAAAAATCTCAGTAGTAGCACGGAGTCTAGAATTGTGTCCGGTATATGGCAATAGGCTCACTCCCTATTACATGGGACTCATAACATAAATAGTGAAAAGTGGGTGTTACATTGTACAGTGGCATAATGTGCATCTTTGCCTACCCCTTCGGGGATAAAAGGCGTGATGTTATGTTATGTTAAGATAACAAACTAAGTGTAACAAACTCTTTTCTGAAAATTACATCAAAATCGGTTCAGCAAATCCCAAGATAATTGCAGACAAACATATACATACATAAATACAAAACAAATGAAGAACCTCGTTTTTTTTTAAAGTCGGTTTTAAATAATTAAAAAAACTGAGCGACCAATATATTTTTCGTAAATTGTAATTTTAATTACTTTTCCGTCCTCAAGGGAGGGGGAGGGAGAAAAATTATGGATTCCAAGCGTTGATATCAAAAAGTTTTTTTTTAAAACAAACTTTTTCCCCTCTACAGAATAATTGTTACGATTTTTTCATTTTTATTTTTCAATTCGATTTTTTTTGAGTTATGTACATGTCGTCGTGGTAGCCCGGAGGTTTAAGACGCTGGCTTCTCATGCACGAGGGTGCGGGCTCGAAACCTATCAACGGCAAGTACCAATGTGACTTTTTCCGAGTTACATGTACTTTCTAAGATTATTTAGACACCACTGACAAACGGTGAAGGAAAACATCGTGACGAAACCTGGACTTATAATTTCTAATTATAAGTTTGAAATCGCCAACCCGCATTGAGCAAGCGTGGTGATTAATGCTCTAACCTTCTCCGTGTGAGAAGAGGCTTTGCTCAGCAGTGGGCATTTAAAGGGTGTTGATGACATAATTGATGACATGTACATTTTTATTGTTATTTTGTTTTTCTTTTTGTAGTGAATTTGAGAACATAGTGATTGCGAGTTGACATGACATAACATTGTCTTTTATCCTGCCCCGAAAGGGTAGGCAGAGGTGTACATTACGGAACATAATGACAATGTAACACCAACTTTTCACTATTTATGTTATGAGCCCCATGTAATAGGGGTCAAAGTGAAAGTCAAAGTTAAAATCATTTATTTCAATTAGACCAGGAAAGGCACTTTTGAACGTCAACAACAAAAATTTAGAAGTGAAGCTATTTGCTCATTCCAAGCAGTAGATTCCTATGGAGAAGAACGAGCAAGAAACTCCATTTTTTTTTTAAGGGGGGAAAATCATCGAATGACTGCTCCCGCCTGGGTGAGGCGGAAGGGAGTGTCAGACTCTTACTGACTAAAAACCACCCCGTTCCTTCTCCTGCACGTCGAGCCGGAGCCCCGGTTACCCGTTAGGTTCTCCGCGACTCCGAATCGGCATCGGCCCTATTGGGCCCTATCTGTGGTGGTCTGATGGCTCTTTGAGGCGCGCGCGGAACGCTACGCGCCGTACGCTCGGGTCTGTTTCTGGTCGGACGGGGAGCCACCCACGCTCGCCGTCCGCAGTCCCGCGCTTAAGGTGGCCGGAGATCGTCCCGCGATCCCCGACGCCCGGTGTGTCCTTCGCGACGGCTGGGTTGCGAGGAGGCAGCGCTTCGCTGCCTCACGCGTCCCGCCTCCTCCTTAGCTAGCATGACTGCTTCGCAAAAGGAGGAGACGGCATCCCAGTCCCCCTCGCTCCGCATCATGGCCTGCACTAGGCCCGGACGCGAGAGGTCGCCATCGCCGATCACTTCCCTGAGGGCACGGCGGTGCTCAGCCCACGCAGGGCATTCTCCCACTGTGTGTTCCACCGTGTCCTCAGGGCGGTCCTCGCAGTGATGACACCCGGGCGTTTCCTCCCGCCCCATCAGACACAGGTACCTCCCGAAACTTCCATGTCCGGTGAGGACCTGCGTCAGGCGGTAGGTGAGGACGCCGTAGCGTCTCTCAAGCCACTCCTCAAAGAGGGGACTTACCGCTGCAATGGCAGCGAGCCCAAAGAAACTCCATAGGTTACTCTTTTTCAATCAGATTCACAATACAATTTACTAGTTACATGGTTTTGTTGGTTTAATTGTGTGAGAATAATGGGGGGTGAGCCTATTGCCATATACCAGGCACAATTCGAGAGTGCTACCACTGAGAATTTTTTATAAAAACCTGTGCCACTTTGCCCGGCCTGGGAATCGAACCCGAGACCCCTTGCCCGGCAATCACACTTGCGACCACTCGGCCAACGAGACAGGGTACTTCTGTACCTTAGTATTATTTTGAAAACAAAAGCTAACCGTACCTAATAATTTCATAAACTATATTTTTTTAAACCAAAACTATATAACGAAGCGTGAACTATAAAAAATTAATATTAAATAAGAAGATAATCAGAAAAAATACAATTACCATGACTGATTTATTTTTATATTTTTTTTTCGGCATTTATAAAAACTAATTTTTAAAAAAATTTGTTTTAGGGGTCCGTTATTCTTTACTTCTTAATGATTTTACTAATACCTAATATAGTTAAATGTTATAATTTGTGTATCATTATGATCACCTTCGTCATCAACAGCCTATAAGTGACAAAGCCTCTTCTCACACGGACAAGGTTTGAGCATTAATCACCACGCTTGCTCAACACGGGTTGGCGATTTCAAACTTATAATTAGACATTATAAGCCCAGGTTTCCTCGCGATGTTTTCCTTCACCGTTTGTCAGTGGTGTCTAAATAATCTTAGAAAGTACATATAACTCGGATAATGTCACATTGGTACTTGCCGTTGGTAGGTTTCGAGCCCGCACCCTCATGCATGAGAAGCAGGCGTCTTAACTCGTCGAGTACCGTATTTATAGACACAATTAAAGAACAATAGGTTGCGGTCACCGGTGACCGCTTGGTGTTTGACAGTTTAAACCTCCGGGCTATTAATAAGAAATACAATACGGAACCTAGGAACTCAAGTTCAACTCTAAATTAGTCTATTTTCCGTGAAAATATTAATAATATATTAACATATTTTAAGTACTATATACTTATTAAAATATTATGCAAGTACGTATATGAGGTGGTCAGTAGTTCTATGCGGTGGTAGCGAATCAGACTGTTGTGTTCACAATCAACAGGTAAAATTAATGAAATATATTTAATCATCTACATTCAGATGTCTTCCATTACCTGGACAAGGGTCTCCCCTTTAGTCCTCAACGTCAAACGACAATATCACCACTCACATCTTGGCAGCTTGACGCTATGACAACTGAATCACCCACATCGAACCATATCCCATGAATAAGAGTCGCGGAGAAC